AGGTTTGGAGGAACTTGGGTAATGTGAGGTGTCCCTGCCCATGGTTTGGGTTGGAACTGGACGATCTTTAAAGTTCCTTCCCAGCCAAACCATTCCATGAGTCCATCCATGAAAACCAGCAGTGAGGAAGGGCAGTGCCCAGGCTGGGGGAATGATCCGTGCCTCGGTGGCCTCGCTGAGCTGGAGCTGCCCTCCCTGGAGCCAGCGGGATGGGAGCGGGGATGGGATGGGGCTGAGAGGGGTGGCAGCACCTCGGGGCCCACACCCCGGGGCTGTGAGGCTGCAGGGAGGGAATAAGGATGAGAAGGAAAGAAATAACATCATTTTTGGGGGAGGAACCCAGCCCAGCCGTGCTCTGGGGTGGTACAGCAGGGAGCTGCTCAGCCAAACCCATCAGGCTGAGTTTTCCCGGAGGCAGGGACTGCTCCCACCCACCCCACAGCCCACCAGGGATCCCCCACTGACCAGGAACATGCTCCCCACATGCATTTTCCACTTGATATGCCCGGAATTGGGAACAGTGGGGCTGAGGAGGGGATAAATTTGGCTTCTCCCATCCCCTGTAACTCTGCAGGTCACCCCAACACCTCCCCACCGGCGGCACGTGAGGGGATCCCATTGCTGTGCATCCGTGAGCCCCTCACAACCCCTCTCCAACACAATTCCCTTCCTCCTGCTCCCTCTCCATCCCAGCCAGGTCCTTCTCCCCTCACAGGGAAAGGGCAGTGTGGGACCAACAATCCCTGGCCAAGCCCAACCTGCTCCTGGCTCCTGAGTGAGCCCCCCAGGCTGTCACACGTGTGTATGTGACACACAGAACAGAGAAAGGAAAGCAGTCCCCCTTTCTCATCAGTCGTGGATGGGTCCAGCAAAGCAGAAACAGCTTTTCCCAAGGCTGCAGACATGGATCAGCTGCCTCCAGGCTGAGGATGGAGCTGGCAAAGGTTCAGGCTGGGAGGAAAATGTTGCAGTGCCAAAGGTGAGTCCTGGTGAGCCAGGAAACACCAACCAAGGTGACACCAAAACAACGAGGCCCCTCAGGGTCACTGTGATGTAAATGGTGGAAAGAGGTGCAAAAAATAGCAAGGAGCACTCGACAGAGCTGGGCAGGGGAGGGGAATGGCAAATCCTGGAGGCTGGGAGGAGAAACTCCATTATTGTACTCCATCATTGTACTCCCCGTGCCCACCTCCACCTTGCTTGGCCAAGCGAGAGAATTTAGACATTTCAGAAACTACCCACACCTCTGCTGGGGGAAAAACCAGCTTTTTGAGGTCAACAAATCCTTCCAGCTGCAGCACAGGATGGGTAGCCAGCTCTGCCAGGACACCAGGCTCCCGAGCCAGGCTTTCCCGAAAAAGCAGCGCAATCCCTTTGGGCTGAGGAGCAGGGAGCAGAGCTCTGCCCTGCCAAGCAAACGGGTTTGGTAACAGGGGCACAGCTCTGTGTGCAGACAGGAAAGCTTAGGAGTTAATCGTGCTGACCAGGTGGGTGACCCCGTGCTCCCCCAGCATCCCTCCCCCGGGGTCCCAACGCTCCGTGGGCTGGGAAGTTTCCTGATCCCCCAGCCCGAGGGTGGTGGCCACATTCCCCAGGCCCAGCCAAGGAATTGGTTCCCTGCTTGGTTGTTCAGCACCGGCTGCCACGAAAGGCACAGAGTCAGGAGGAGGCTCCCAGCTCCTGGGGGCATTCAGGGAATTTCAGGCAGCAGAAGAAATGAGCAAACGGAGCCCAGGCTCAGCCCCGCTGAAGAAAATCTCCGAGGGGGAACGCAGCACATCCCAGTTTAGGCAAGAGCTGGAGCTCTGGCCTGGCATGCACCTCAAATCCCTGCTCCAGACCAAGCAGCAGATGACGTGGCGGCCCTTGCTGCCAGGGGTGGCAACACAGCAGAGGAGGAGAGGGCTGAAAGTCTGCTGAGCGTTAGAGCAGGGCTGATCACCCTTGGGAGAGAGACGATTAAAGCGCTGAGATGCTGTAATCAGGTCTGGGATTGGCCCCGCGCTGCATCTGCTCAGACCTGCGCCCTGATTAGCCCTAATCTAGCTGGCATATGTTAATCTAAAGCATGGATTTCAGACCCTTTCAATTGTATTAAAAACAGGAAATCCATTAGACAAAAAAAAAAAAAACTCCAAAAACCCAATCGGCCCCAAATCGACTTCTCGAGTCTTTGGGAAATACATTTCTGCAAAGGAAGTGGAGCAGAAGAGGATCCCACAGGAACCTGTGGCTGCTCAGACCAGCTCCTGCCTGGCAGGGACAGCAGCAGAGGATGTGATGGATCACACACAGCAGCACAAACCATGCCCACGGGCTCCCAGGAAGATGCAGCCAGGCTATACCTTCGCTTCCCCACCCAAAATTCCCCTCCTGTCCTGGGCAGGGGTGAGGAGCCAGCTCCAGGCAGCTGGGGAGAAGGTGGGAACCTTCTCAGCACCCTCGTGCTTGAGGGAAGAATCCGAGAGTGGAGCTGTTCCCTGAGAGGAATTTTTGGCTCTAGGGGTTGTGATGCCACAAGAAACACTGCTGGGCACGGAGGAAGAGGAGGGACACGAGGCTGGGGTCATGGAGCAGCACAGAACTATTGCCCTTGGGAGTTCTTTTATGGGACAACATGGAAAATTCACAAGGACTTGAGCCATCACCTTGGAGCCCCTCAGAGAGCACAGGACATTGGTTTGGAGCAAGGCAACATCACCTGCTGAAAACCCAGAACCTTGACTGGCGCTGCCACTGGGGGTCCCGTGGCTCCAGAGGCCAAGGCTGGCTCTTCTTGCTCTGGTTTCCTGCACACCAAAGGCCCAAATGCTGCAAGCTGTGAGCTCTGCAGAGTCAGGAGTGAGTGATCCCACCAGTCCCTCAGCCCCCTGTTTCAGCACCAAATGGAAAAGGCTAAAAAAGGTGGAATTTTCCACTGGACTTTCTTGGCTGTTGATGTCCTCCTTCAGAGGAGTTTGTTTCCATCAGCACTGGGGAGAAACCAGAGCAAACTGTGCTGAAGCCTTTTGGGGCAGATGCTCCTGCACCTTCTCCTTCCCCTCCTCTGGAGCAGGGGCTGAGGAATCCAGCAGAAATTCCTGTGCTCAGGAATGCCCTACAGGGCCCTAGCACACAGGGCAGCAGATGCCATCTCATCACCACGCTCCTTGCAGAGCCAAGGGTGACTTTTGAAGATGTGATGGAAGAATTCTTGTCAATGATTCAGAATGAGTAGGTTTTAATACATACAAAAAAAAAAAAAAAAAAAACCAAAAAATGAAATATTTGCCCTTGGTGGGCAGCACAACAAAGGGGCACAGGGCATGCTTTGGTCTGCATTCCCAGGTGTAAATACATCAAGGCTGATGCAGGTAAGTAGGAATAATCATCTTTTCTCCCAGTGTTTCCCCCAGTAAGACACAAACTTGAAGTCCAGCATGGAAACCTGCATGTGGAAAAAATCCCAGACAACAGCTAAACATAAGGTTGGTGAAGCTCTGGAGCAAAGTCTCTGTCACTGGAGTGTTTTAGAGGAAGTAAGACCGAGGCTGGCTCAGGAAAGGGGCTGATCCTACAGAATCCTGGAGCAAAAACCATTTCTGTCCTCACCAACTGCGTTTTTGGACACCACCTGGACTGTTACTGCCAACACTGCTCAGCACAAACATTAAAATGTCCCACACCTGATTTTTATGAGATGTTTCCCTTGACTGGGAACTTGGTTTGTGAAGATTTCAAAAAAATATCCTCTTGACCACCTCCCTTCTGGGAGAGGCCTTCAAGAGGTGGAGGAGGGGGAAATCAGTGGGCACCAGGGTGTATTTTCAGGGAGATAAACCAGTTTCTGATGAGGTCCAGCCACAGCAGCTGAAATGAGAGCTCTCAGAGTCAGCTGCTACCCTGGCAAATCCTCAAGGGCCAACCCAAACGTGTCCCTTGAGGCACCAGGTGCTGGCAAGACACCACGGAAGGGATTTCACCCAAAGCCAGCCTCAGAAATAAAGCATTTCAGGAATCCCACCACACTCAGCAGTGACAGAGGAGCAGAGGACATCTCTCAACACGGACACTTGGTTTAAGATAAGATGAACTGAAAGCTGAGCCCTCCATCTTTTACCACCTCAGCTGCAAGAGCATCAGTGATTAACTCTAACTGACATCTCTCAGGATGATAATTGGAAGGATTTTTCCCATCAGAAATGGCTCAGTGTCACTGGAAGTGTCCAAGGCCAGCTTGGACAGGGCTTGGGGCAACCTGGGATAGTGGGAGGTGTGGCTGGACCAGGATGATCTTTGGTCCCTTCCAACCCAAGCTGCTCTGGATTCTGTGACATTGACAAACCTCAAAGCCCCCCTGCAGTGATGTAAGCTCTGAGAACTTTCCAGCCTCACAAGTCACAGCTCTTCCCTACAGAACCTCTGTGCCAGCCAGGTCAAGACATGAAGGTTTCTCCACCAAATTATCTGCAAAAAGCTGCGGTCCTCATTCAAGATCCTCCTCCATCTGTCTTTTCAGGAGCTACTCTGGTCAAAACCCCATTAAAGAACAATTTGATGAGGCACCTGAGGCTTTGATATCAAAGTTGAATCAATTAAGTTACATCATAGCCCAGACTTTTCCTTAAAATGGAAGATAAATGCAGATGAGATCCAGCATTCCCATCCACAGCTGCACGGGATGCAGCCCTGGAGTCACTCCCTCCTTCTCTGCATCCACCACACCTCCAGGGCCACAGCCCATCTCTCAGACTGTCCCTGGGGGTCACCTGCCTGCTTATCATTGTCAGTGACT